CTCTGCCATGTCCCCTTTTTTCGGGTCTCCTCCCCACTGCGGGGTTGTTCCATTTTGCCCGGGGTGCGGGCCCAGTTTAACGGGCCCCCCATTGTTTGCTGCCGGGGCCCGTAATTGCCATGGGCCCCTTTTACCCCCCCTCCTCATGATGTCCCAGGCCCAAAGGGGGTTCTCATGGGTCCCTTTTGGGCCCCTCCCATTGTGCTTTTCCCCATCGCCACCCCTCTCCCCAGGGTGCCACTTTCGGTCTCCCACACTGCTGGTGGTTCCTTTTTTTGTCATGGGTGGCTGGAGTTTAAAGGGCCCCCCATTTTTGCCCCAAACCCCTTTTTAATCTGCCATGGGCCCCGTACCCCCCTCCCCCTTGTTTGGCTCCCGGTCCGGGAGTTCTCAGGGGTTTCCCTGAAACGGCCCAATTTTTCCCATTGCTGCTTGTCTCCTTCGCCACACTCTGCCATGGGCCACTTTCAGGTCCCCTCAAACTGCTGGGGGATTTGTTCCTTTTTTTGGGTCATAGGGTCTGGGCAGATTACGGGCCCCCCTTTTTCTTTTGGCCGGGCCCGTAACCCTGCCAGGGGCCCCAAAGTCCCCCGCCCCCTCATCTGCTGCCAGGCCCAGGTCTCTCAGGGGTTTCCCCTGTAGGGCCCCCCCCAAATTGTGCTGTTTTCCTTCGCCACACTCTGCCAGGGTGCCCTTTCGGGTCTCCTCACACTGCTGGTGTGTTCCTTTTTTGTCAAAAGGGTTGGCGATTACGGGCCCCCCATTGCTCCCTGCCGGGGCCCTAATCTCCCATGGGCCCCAGTCCCGCCTCCTCAGGCTGCGCCGGGTCCAGATTCTTCATGGGTCCCGTAGGGCCTCCCATTGTGCTGCCCTCCATCCCACACTCTGCCATGTCCCCACTTTCAGGTTCCTCACACTGCGGTGTGTTCCTTTTTTGGTCAGGGGGGTGCTGGCAGTTTACGGGCCCCCCTTTGCTGCTCCCCAGCCCGAAATTCTCCAGGGGCCCCCTGTACCGCCTCCTCTTGTGCTGCCAGGTCCACAGTGTCTCATGGGTCCTGTACGGGCCTCCATGCTGCTGTCTCCATCGCCACACTCTGCCCATGTGCCACTTTCAGGTCTCCTCACATGCTGGTGTGTTCCCTTTTTTTCATAGGGAGGCGCTGGGCAGATTACGGGCCTTCCTCCCATTGTTGCTGCCAGGGCCGTTATCTGCCATGGGCCCCCGTTACCGACTCCTCATTGCTGTGAAGTTGCAACAAGGTGGAATTCAACCCATACATATGTTAGACCGCTTTACGAACAGCGTAAGTCCATCCACAGATTCTGATGTTACAATAGGATAACAGGTACTCCCCTGTGTAAACTTAGATGTCAAGCCATTGGGCAGCTTTCATGCGTGACACCTGCCGGCTTGCTCCAGGCCCTTGGTGGAGGCCACGCTATTCGTGGAGTTCGGCAGGACTATGGATATGAACGACGGTCATTCATCTGTTGCACGTCCTGGAACAAATGCTGTTAACAATGGCTGGTCAGGGTGCGGTAGACGTGGCGCACAGAATCTCAACGGCCACATGACCCCTGTGGGGGCAGGACAGGAAGAAGAGGAGGAGGTAGAGGAGGACATTGGTGCTCAGGAATTATTGAGTGAATGGAGGTGTGGTTTTTTCCACTCAGCGGGACAGGGACGTGGAGGAGCAGGGCATCTGGTTTTTTTTTAGAAGAGGAGGAGGAGGAGGACAGAGGACCCAGACGCACCGTGGCAGTATGCTGTGGAGATGGAGCAGGGAGTCCCTCGCATTCCTTGGCACAAATGGCCCATAGCATGCTCGGTTGCATTTGCGTAGCGACAGTCCGAATAATAAACCATCAGACAGAGTTATGACTTTTGCTGTCCACCTTGTTTGGACCCTCGCTACCGTTACAAAAATGGTGGCCTTTTTCACACCTGCTGAGAGGGAGGCCAAAATAACGTACTATAAAAACCACTATGTAGTCAGTTGGTCTCTGCCTTTGTGCGCCAACGTCATCCTCAGACACTGTGGGCCCTGTGCGCTCGCGTTCCGCTGCCATGGCAGCAGGGGAGGGGTGGGGTGGTAGGATGCAGTGGCAGCTCCACCAGCAGCGGCTGCCTCAGTCTGCAGTCGATGATGAGTAGCTTTCTTCACCAGCGCGCAGTGAGGAAACTACTAACCAGCCGCAGCAGCAGCAGCATCAGGTGGACCTGGAGCAGGACTCAAACAACAGGCTTGGGCCTACTTGGACAGCACCCTGCCAACCGAGGTAGACAATCCCCTTGACTACTGGGCAACGAAAACTTGACCTTTGGCCCCAACTAGCTGAATTTGCCCTTGAAAGGCTGTCATGCCCGGCCAGTAGCGTGGCATCGGAGCGCGTGTTTAGTGCGGCAAGGAGGTATTGTAACTCCGCGGAGGACACGACTGTCCACCCAAAGTGTGGAGAGACTCACGTTTGTGAAAAAATGAATCAGGCGTGGTCTGGATTTCAAAAACCACCAGTTCCTGACACAACTGACTAAATCCGCCATGAATCATGCCCCAAACATGTGCCACTTTCAGGTCTCCTCACACTGCTGGTGTGTTCCATTTTTTGTCATAGGGTGTGGCAGATTACGGGCCTCCCATTGCTGCTGCCAGGCCCGTAATCTGCCATGGGCCCCCGTACCGCCTCCTCATGCTGCTGCCAGGTCCAGAGTCTCTCATGGGTCCCTGTACGGCCTCCCATTGCTGCTGTCTCCATCGCCACACTCTCCATGTGCCACTTTCAGGTCTCCTCACACTGCTGGTGTGTTCCATTTTGTCATAGGGTGCTGGCAGATTACGGGCCTCCCATTGCTGCTGCCAGGCCCGTAATCTGCCATGGGCCCCTGTACCGCCTCCTAATGCTGCTGCCAGGTCCAGAGTGTGTCATGGGTCCCTGTACGGCCTCCCATTGCTGCTGTCTCCATCGCCACACTCTGCCATGTGCCACAGTGTTCTGCACTAATATGAAGGCTCTCTGAAGCCTAGAAACACCCTTTTATAAGTTAAATTCGCAGCGAATATATTCGCATCGAATCGAATTTATTCCTCGAATTCACCGAATCAGTCGAATCGAATTTTTTAATACTTCGCTCATCTCTAATCCTTATGTTACATTTTTTTCCTTATTCTCCTGATCTTCCAATTTAAATAGCAGAGTCCTTTGTTCTCTTCTTATTTCTCTTAATTGTTTTAAAAAATTATATATAATTTGAGGATGTCTTTCTAGTTTTCCTTCCGTCTCTTCCACCCTTGACAACATTTGCCCCAAATATTTATGTAGCTTTGTCATTTCCTGTTTTATTGATCTTTCAAGTCCTTTGAACATTTCTGCTATTTCCATTTTAGTTGGCAATTGTGAGCTCTGTTCTTGTTCTTCTGAGTTTTCCATATTTAGGTCCTCTTCTATATTTTGATTATTATTAGCTACTAGAGATGAGCGAATCGAACTTGGCGAAGTGGAATTCGTTTCGAATATTAGGAAAAATTCGATTCGCACCGAATCCGAATATTAGCAAACTTCGGATGCGCGAATTGAATTTTTCCCGATCGGCCGATTTTCATCCCTTCTACAGCCGGCAAAAAGTGTCCCTGCAGAGAGCTCCGCTATTTCTGACACTTCTCTGACAGTTCCTTCACATTTACAGCGGTTGAAACATTGTATCTGTTTTCTTTTAGGATACAGATGTTTTTATTCGGAAACAAATAGATACAATGTTTCAACCGCTGTAAATGTGAAGGAACTGTCAGAGAACTGTCAGAAATAGCGGAGCTCTCTGCAGATACACTTTTTGCTGTACTGGAATTTTTCTTCTTTTCATTCTTCTTCTTCTTTTCATTCTTCTTATTTTCATTCTTCTTCTTCTTCTTTTCATTCTTCTTCTTCTTCTTTTTATTCTTCTTCTTTTCATTCTTCTTTTCATTCTTCTTCTTCTTCTTTTCATTCTTCTTCTTTTCATTCTTCTTCTTCTTCTTTTCATTCTTCTTCTTTTCATTCTTCTTCTTCTTCTTTTCATTCTTCTTTTCATTCTTCTCATTCTTCTTTTCATTCTTCTTTTCATTCTTCTTCTCATTCTTCTTTTCATTCTTCTTCTTCTTTTCATTCTTCTTCTTCTTCTTTTCATTCTTCTTCTTCTTCTTCTTTTCATTCTTCTTATCATTCTTCTTCCTCTTCTTTTCATTCTTCTTCTTCTTCTTTTCTTTCTTCTTTTCATTCTTCTCATTCTTCTTTTCATTCTTCTTTTCATTCTTCTTTTCATTCTTCTTCTTCTTTTCATTCTTCTTCTTCTTCTTTTCATTCTTCTTTTCATTCTTCTTTTCATTCTTCTTCTTCTTCTTTTCATTCTTCTTCTTCTTTTCATTCTTCTTTTCATTCTTCTCATTCTTCTTTTCATTCTTCTTTTCATTCTTCTTCTCATTCTTCTTTTCATTCTTCTTCTTCTTCTTTTCATTCTTCTTCTTCTTCTTTTCATTCTTCTTTTCATTCTTCTTCTTCTTCTTTTCATTCTTCTTCTTCTTCTTTTCATTCTTCTTCTTCTTCTTTTCATTCTTCTTTTCATTTTTCTTCTTCTTCTTTTCATTCTTCTTCTTCTTCTTTTCATTCTTCTTCTTCTTCTTTTCATTCTTCTTCTTTTCATTCTTCTTCTTCTTCTTTTCATTCTTCTTCTTCTTCTTTTCATTTTTCTTTTCATTCTTCTCATTCTTCTTTTTATTCTTCTTTTCATTCTTCTTTTCATTCTTCTTCTTCTTTTCATTCTTCTTCTTCTTCTTTTCATTCTTCTTCTTCTTCTTTTCATTCTTCTTTTCATTCTTCTTTTCATTCTTCTTCTTCTTTTCATTCTTCTTCTTCTTCTTTTCATTCTTCTTCTTCTTCTTCGTCGTGCCCCGTGACTGCCCAAATGAGTGAAGTGTGCGGTGATTCTAAGATCGACGGCACTCATCTGCATGTCATACTGACTGACAGTATTATTTCTCTTCCTCAGCAGACTCCAAGGGCATTTAAATTAAAGGTACAGTGTTCTGCACTAATATAAAGGCTCTCTGAAGCCTAGAAACCCTTTTAATAAGTTAAATTCACAGCGAATAAATTCGCATCGAATCGAATTTCTCCGGCAAATTCGGCGAATCAGCCGAATCGAATTTTTGAATAATTCGCTCATCTCTATTAGCTACTCCTATGGATAGTCTGGAATGCTCGCCGATACTATTTTTCATCTTACTTCTTCCACTTGTTCCCTGATGTCTTTCTGGGGTTTGTTTTTCCTGTGAGGGTAAACATTTTTTAATTGAATTTGTTTTGGAGGTTTTGGGCCCCCCACCCTTTGACGCTTTATTTTTCATTTAATCAGTTTCAATTTTTATTTTCCTTTCCGGGAATTGGGGAAGTTGTTCTCCCTTTCTTCTAGGTTTTAAGATCTTCCTATGATGTTCTCCTTTAATGACGTTTTCTTTCTTTTCCTTTTCCTTTCTTTCCCCTTCCCTCTCTTTTCTTCCTCTCTTAAAGATGTCTACCAGGCTCTCAAATTTTCATGGGTTTTTATCTGTCCTCCACTCGAGGCTCCTTGGGTAAGCCCCCCTACAGCTTTTATATCACAGTTCAATTCAAAGTACAGTTTATCAGTCACAGTAGTCACTATAGACAACAATTGCAGCTTCCACTCACCCTTTTTTCCTCTTTCTTCCTGTACTTTTAATGATGCTGCTTCATATTTTTTCTTCTGAAGACTCCTGCTTCATTAATCCTTCTATATAATTGACGACTCCCAGGTGGGGGGGGGGGGGCTCCCCCAGCTGCTCTGCGTCCGATCCTGTAAGGTTATCCTTTATTTTTTTTACTAGGGATGCGCTCGTCCATCAGGGCTAGAGCCAGCCAGCTGCATGTCACCTTCCCTGTCTCGACCGCTCCAATCTCAGACAGAAGGGAAGAAAGCCGTATCAGCCGTGGGAGAAAGCCGTGTCCACACTCACACACGACAGCCGGCTTCTCTGCTTCCCAGTGCTCCCTTGCGGTGTGTCATGTGACCGCCCGGCGTCCTCTGCACTCCAGCTCCTTGCCTCTCACAGCCTTCTCTGCCTCTCAGTCTCCCACTCCATCTCAGCTTGGCGCCCGACCTCTCACAAATGGGCTTTCAGGACTTGCTCTCAGCCAGGTAAGACTCTGCATTCAGCTCAGTCTCCACCACCTCTGCATATTCTCTTTCCCGGCGGGACAATGGGAAAGGCCGTTACCCGGGAGCTCTCACATTGAGCTCCCGCTCCGTGTCTTAGTCAGACTCCTCCTTCCTGTATCCCGTGTTCTTGATCAGACTGCCAGAAAGATTCCTGACAGGCATTCTAATTCCTCTCCACTCTATACTGCCACCCTCTTTTGTTCCCTGATGTGGGGTATGGTTTTTTTGTGTCCCGTGGTTCCACTGGATCCACGTGGTGCATTGCTCTTGCTCTTTGTGTCATCCTATAAGTGTTTCCATTTTTGGGGTGCCCCCATGGTCGAGTGCTTTTGTCTGTTGTCTTCACACTCACTTGGTTCTCACTTAATGTTCAAGGTTTGAACTCACCGCAGAAACAGACTAAAGTTTTTTAAGTATCTTCACTCCTCCAAAATTGATATTGCTTGTCTGCAGGATGTTCACCTGACCTCCTCTTATAATCTTCATTTTTTAGATGGTCGTTATGCTCAGGTTTTTTTAACCTCTGGCTTTAAGAAGAGGGGGGTTCTTCTGGCATTTCACAACTCCTTGCCTTTTCAAGAGCACAAAGTAGTTACGGACCCCCAAGGCTGCTATTTGATAGTTGTAGGGATCCTGCAGAATGTGGAGGTTACAATCTGTACATGCTATGCCCCTAATCAGAGAAAATGCATTTTTTTGAGCATCTCTTGTCGGTTGTTCAGACTCATCAGATAGGCCATATTATGCTGTCAGGCGATTCCAATTTAGTCCTTAATCCTAAATTAGATAAATCTCCCGCGGGCTCAGCAATCTCTTCTCCACTCTCTGTGGAGTTTGGGCATATTCTTTGTTCTCATAATCTGGTCGATGCCTGGCGGAAATTACATTCCACTTCTAGGAATTATACCTTTTTCTTCAACCCTCATTCTAGCCATTTTCGTATTAATCACATTTTTGTGGCTCCTTCTTTTCTTCCCCATTTACTCTCTATGAGGATTTCTACAGTTCCTTGGTCTGACCATGGTTTTCTGAACGTTCACCATTACTATATTGTGACCGAGGTTACTCCCCTCATTCAGTTTTTTTCTCTGAAGGACTTACCTTTGTGGGCACTGATAGATACTTTGGACACACATCCCCTTCTGCCTTCAGCCTTGTGTTGGCTTCCTCCGTTCTCGGGGCCTAAATTGTTGAATCCTGTCTTGACTCACTCTTTAAAAATTTGGGACTCGTGCAAGTACTCAGCTGATCTGCTTTCCCCGCATTTACCTATCTTAAATTATTCGACTGTCTGCTTTTTAGCCCAGGGGACTCAGATAAATGGCCTTTTGTTGGTGGATAACTCGTGGTTTTACAACGGTTCACTCGTTAATTATGGGTCGTGGTATGAATAAGTTTGCGCAGCTTCGAGAGAGTCATTCTTTTCCACCCTCGGAGCTATTTCACTATTTGCAATTACGTCATTTTGTTATACCTTTGCTTGGTAGACGAGATTCCCCTTGCAATTTTTCGGGTTTTTAATCGCTTTGTAAGGCGTCGGCTTCCACTAAAGGTGCCCTATCTCAAATTTATCTATCAATCCAGAATCATTTGGCTGAATCTTTACCTGCT